CGTCGCACCGCCCGTCGTCGGGGCTGGCGCGGGCGTCATTTGCGCCGTCGTGAGCATCGCGCTCGAGGCAAGAAGCATCATCATGGCCGTCGTCTTCATGGTAGGAGTTGCTGTAGGGTAGTCGGATAAACGAAATATGAAGGACATTGCGGCGAGCGACGGCATCACCAAGCCGGACCAAGGATTGAAACAGCCGAAGTACAAGAGGACGGGAATACTCATCCCGCGCCTGCTGTTTGGAGCCTTTTGTGTTGGTCTTTTGTAGCTTCTTTTGTACTGCAGCTTGTACTGCATTCTAAGTGCTATCAGTTGGTACCTCTGCGCAAAGTCTCTAAAGTCTTGACGTCTTGACGGTGACATTTCAGCGCTCTCTGTCAAGCCAACTTTGTGGCAATTCGGAGAAACCCACTCACATTCTGGTGGATATAAACTAACCAATGCGAAATGTGCAAATAATTGGCACATTCTTGTCTCTTTGGCTAGTCTCTACAACTCTCTACATGTAGGTAGTTGGTGGCAGTATCAAGAAATCTTGGCCGCAAAAGCAGTGTTGGTGATGAGATGCATGGTCAAGCCCGGACGACACGCAGGCTAACTGGGTTCAATGTGGCTAGTGAGAACGTGAAGCCATCACTTTCAAAAGCCCGTCGACGCCACCACTGACCACCGACTGCGCCAACACCATTGAGCAAACCGGTGCATACTTGTGCGCCACGTGTACCACCAGGACATGCTCAACCGTTAGCGACCTGCACTGGCATAAGCTGCGCATCATCGAGGACACCTGCCTTTGGTCCTATAGTCTTTGTGTCATCCTTTCGTCTCCGACACCACATCGCTCATATCGTGACAACGACGAGGTGGCAGTGTGGCACAAAGGGTCATACTTACACGTCCGCGTGCCACGTAGGTTGCACTTTCCAGCGTGACGGTTTCAGACCAACGACAGCCGTCCATTCAGAAACAACGTATTTTATAGGCATAGAAGGCTTACATGGCCGCAACAGCAACGGTGGCGAGCGCCACGAGGCCCGTCGTAAGGCCAGCGGCACTGGACGTGGGCTTGGGCGTCGGCGCCTTGGTCGTCGTCCCCGCCGAGCTACCCGTCGACGACGACACGGACGTGGGCTTGGTCGTCGCGGCGCCAGGCACCGACGTCGTCGTGTTGCCACCAGGCGCGACAGTCGTCGAGTTGGCAGCCGCGATCGTCGCCTTGAGGGCGTCCGTGTACTGCTGGATCGTGAACGTCGCCCAGTCGGCGGTCGTCGTCGTCGCCGTCATGGCGCACGGTGGCTTGACGGACGCAAACGACTTTTGCGAAAACACATAGTACGCGGCGCAGTTGGTCGACGTGGCGTACTTTTCAATCTGCGCCGGCGTCACATTCGTGAGCGTCTCGAGCACCTCGGCCGACGCGAGACCGAGGTCCGTCGCGCACTTGTCACCGCTCGCCTTGGCGTCGGCCTTGACCGCCTTCCACGCCGCATTGATCGTCTCAGCCGAGCATGCAGCAACACCGCCCGCGGGCGCGGTCGTCGGCGTAGTCGGCGTCACACCACCCGTGGGCGCGGTCGTCGGCGCGGTCGTTGTCGTGGCGGCCATCGCGCTCGACGCAAGAAGCAGCATCGTCGTCGTCGTCTTCATGGCTGGGGGTGGTGGTGTGAGCTGCGATAAAAGGAATCTGACGTCAGCACACATCGCACACCATGCCATGGCAGAGATGCGGGGCAAGCTTCGGCCGCACCAGCTGGTCCCAGGCTGCGACATGACGAACCAAGCACGATCGAACGCCTTGCATCGACGCGCACCGACGCACAGCGGACACGATTGAAGGTATTGTCGAAGCTTGCACTGTACTTTCACAAGAAACACTCGGCTTTGGCAGCGTAAGAGCACGACGCACGCGCATCGAGGACGTGTAACGCTGACGGCCCATCCTCCGCGTTGCAAGCGAGTGTACGGTGCGTCACTGCCTCCACGGTCCTCCCAACCTATCAACCTTCGACGCCACCCTGGCCGTCGACTCGCTTTTTGAGATGGCGCATGCCCTTGGCAATGAAGCATGCCCTTGGCAAGGAACATGGCTTGGTCCAGCGGCTTGGGCAAGAGGTATCCGACCGCCTTGGTCTAGCTCGGTGCAACCACCTCTCGTGGTACCACCGCCCAGCTCCACCATATTGTCCACCATACCAGTGCAAGGCAACTAGAGTCACAACTAGAGTAGACATAATTGTGCACACAAGGCCAATGACGCCTACAAGACCACGTAGCTGTCGCGGCCTTGGCGGCTCGACTCGGGCGCGCCGCTCTTGGCCCGGTTGCGCAACACCGACCCGTTCCCGCCCTGCGACGAGAGGTTGGTGCCGTTCCGACGCGTCAAGAACGACCGCTCCTCAACCTACAATCCGATCTCAGCCGCCGTTCGTCAGGATATCTGCGCACCGAACGCTGGGCCAGCGTCATGTTGAACTCTTCCAGCGCACGGTGTGTATCCAGAATGTGACTCGCGTCGTCGGCAAACTGGTTGTTGACGTTGAACGAGCCGCGCGTCGGGGGCTTGCGCGTCGACAGCTCGTCCGCGCCTTCGTCCATCTTGCGCACCATCTCGGCAAACAGCGACGCGGGCTTGTGCATGAGCTATCATCACAACCACGTTCGCCGTGCCATCGTACGACAAGGAATCCACCTCGTTGTATGTGCCCACGTCCACGAGCTTGCCCGCGTCCATGACGAGGATCGCGTCCGCATTGCGCGTCGTTGTCAGTCGGTGCGTCACCGAAATGATCTACACACGACATGCGGTCGCCACTCACGCTTCTCTTCTCTTACCGTCATCTGGAGCTTCTTGGCCAGCACTTCGAGCGTCGCCACGACGCTGGCCTCCGTTTCTTGATCCAGCGCACTCGTGGCTTCGTCCAAGAGCAAAATGCTACACAAAATCGACAATAAATCCCACAAAATACGACGCTCGATCCGTGTACCTCGGCTGCCGCACGAGCGCGCGCGCGAGGCAAATGCGCTGCGACTGGCCGCCACTGAGGTTGACGACCGCATGCTGCCCAACAATCGTGTCGTAGCCGTCCTTGAGCGACTTGACAAAGTCATGGCACTCGGCCAACTTGGCAGCTTCCAAACACTCTTCGCGCGACGCGGTCGGGTTGCCATACCGAATGTTCTCCATGATGGTCCCGTTCAAGATGCCACCGTCCTGGAAGACAACCGCCATCTGCTGGCTCAAGCTCGTCTTCGAGTAGCCGCTCGTATCGACATTGTCGACACAAATGGCGCCGGCGCTCGGCGCATAAAAGTTCATCAAGCAGCCGAGCAGCGTGCTCTTGCCGCAGCCACTCGGGCCCACAATGCATGCATAGTCGCCCTACAATCACGTCCATTGAGCCCTAGCCCCTTTTCAACATTTTAAAATTGAAACATTGAAACAAAAAAACACACAAAAATCGAAGAAAATCAAACAAAAAACAAACAAAAAAACACGACGACGACATACCTTTTGGAAGACAGCGTTGATGTCGTCGAGCGTCCAGGTCTCGGCGTGCTCGTCGTACTTGAAGCACAGGTGCTGCACGGAAAACGCGTGCTGCATGCGGGGCACGGCCGGCCGTTTCTTGTCCTCCTTCTCGAGCTTGTCAAAGTCGTCGGCCGCGCCGTAGATAATCTCATCGATGCGCTGGAGACTCGACGCATTGCCAATGGCCACGCGCATAAAGCCGCCGAGCACCGTCACCGGCGACGAGATGCGGCTGAGCAGCGTCGTGCACGAAAAGAAGTCACCCGACGTAATGTCGCCGCGAAACACCTTCATGACAAGGCACGCCGTCATGACTTGGACAAAGATAAACATGGCCGACTCAATGTAAATCTGGACCACGCCGCTCCAAAAATCCTTCGAGAATTGGGCCTTGCGCAGCCCGCCAATGCTCGTGCCAAAGCGCTTGAGCAGCGGGTCCTGGATGCCATACGATCGCACGACCTTTTGACAGGCGACCGCGTTTTGAAACTCAGCCGCCACGTATGCATTCTTGGAGCCAAACGTCTGCGACTGTTTGCCTACGGGGAGAGCCACGGTTGACATTGTTCACGTCAAAAAATGAAAATGAAAAAAATGAAAAAAATGAGCAAAAAAAATGAAAAAAAATGAATAGAAAATGCAAAAAGAGACGTACCGGCGAGGCCTTGGGGACCCGACGTGACGACGACGGCCGCAAATGCAAACGACATCAAGCCCACGATCGGCTCCGAGTACATGAGGTAGGCAAAGCCAATGACAATGGCCACGATCGGGTTCATGAGGTTCTACGCCGCATTGATACATTGATATACACAAACAAAAAATACCCAAAACACAGCTTGCCACATGGCGTTGACGCGCGCCACGTCCGACTGAAAGAGGTTGTTGAGGTCGCCGTCCGACCGGTCGGCAAAGAACCCCGTGTGCTGGCGCAAAATCACATTCAACAGGCTGTTTTGCATTTGCTGCGTCGCTTTTGCAATCATTTTCGACTGGAAATAGCCTAGTCGCCGAATGAAACATTGAAACATTGAAACAAAAATACCCATCGCATAGTCGGCCATCGTGAACGGAACGCTGATCGCCATGACGCCAAGGACACCGACCATGAGCTCGTGTGGCGGCAGAAACGGCAGCTCGACGCGCTGGCCATTGTCGTCCGACGTCTCGTTCTTCCACTTGAACTCCGTGTGCACCGAGAGACCGGTCGCCATGCCAAAGTCATCAAAGTTGTTGAGCGCATACGTCCACGTCGACTTAGGAAACGCCTTGTCCGTGAGAATTTGTAGAAAAAAAGCCAGCAGCGGCGTGATCGAAGCGGCGACCAAGACGACCATGGTCGTGCAAAACAAGTCCCACTTTTGCGTCGACCTAATTGCAACGTAAACGACAATATGTCGACAAAAACGACACCAAATACCAGTGGCCAAACGTCGACTTGATCACGTCCCATGCGCCGTACGCGTTGGTGACCGACGTCGCGTCAATGTCCCGCAAAAACGCCAAAAATTCATTTGCGCGAATGTTCTTCGGGCGGTACAAGAGCGCACGTTCGAGGAAGCGCATGAGCTCTTCGCGCGTCATCTCGCCAGAGTCGCGGCCGCAAATGATGAGCAGGTCCGTCTCCATGGTCTCGACCGCCACCTACTCGTCGACGCGGTCACGTCACCCTGAAAATTGCAGGCGTGGGCCTACCGCGGTGACGCCAGGAATGCGGCGGAGCGACGCACGAAGCGACTCCATCGAGATGCGAATGTGGTCGTGGTGCGCATAGTTGTGCAGCTTCTTGGAGAAGGTACGGGCGCGGGGCTTGAGGATGATGCGCGCGGCGGCGAGGACCACGTAGACCGCGTCAATGTACAGTTCAATCTGGTTCGAGCGGTACTTGTGGTTCGTCTTGTACGACGTGGTCCAGCCGTCTTCGTACACCTTGAGCTTGTTCAGGTTGTCGCCAAACACAAAGCTACAAGAACACATGGTACCGCGTCGATGCGCCATGGCCTACCGGCATGCGAGCGCGCCGCCCAGCAAAAGAAGCGCGAGCAAGTCGCCAATGCTAGCAGCCGACCGGAAGAGCGCCGAGCGCAGCGCAACAAGCCGCAAGAGCATGTCGACCACGTACACGGCCATGCAGCCCGACGACCCGAGCCGCGTCTGGGGTGCATAGTTGACAAAGTTGCGCGTCGACGTAAACGAGACGGCAATCACATTGCCGAAGAAGTCGAGCGCAAGCAGCGCCATGAAGAAGTAGTGCCACGGCCGCGAGTCGATGAAGCGGAGGCAGCCGAGCCGCGACTTTTGCGGCGGAATCTTGGGCTGCGCGCCGTTGCGCGCGCGCGGGACATCGTCGACCATGGTGGCAAAGTCATGCGTATGGGGCGTCGCCGCAGCGTCGGCCATGGACGACGTCATGCGGGCGGGGCGGCGCGGTGGAGCCATCGTCGTCGTACCAACTGGAATCCGCTCTGGCACCGTTATGCGATGGAAATATGGCTGCCGGATACACCTCTCCTATCCGGATCTCGAGGGAAACAAACCGTGCGAGACACAATATAAAGACTACTCCACTCTATTTGTTTTTTCATATTTTCGAAATACATTTACAGTTTGGGTGCAACCATGCAAAATATTGCAGCATTCTCAAATTATAATCGATAGTACCCTTGCAAAGTTTGCAAAGCGTTAAGATTCGACCAAGCCGCCTGGTCTGGACTCTTGCAATTTGTATAGACGCCGATGGGTCGAGACCGGCTTTCTGCAAAGATCCACCTTCCACTGCTCCTTCCATGCGCCCCGTACTCGCTACTTCGAGTATATTTGTCGTAGTAGCCGCGAGTTCAGTCGGACCTCCTACTACCAGCGCAGTCGACACGGAGAAGGACGAGGCCCTCTCCTGCCAGCATGACTTGAAGAAACGGCCAATGCGCATGGCCAGCTGGCGTAGAAGCACGTCTTGGCGCCAAATTCACGAGATGCCATCATGTCCGTATCGATTGCCAGCGCGTTGCATATATGCATGGTGCTAAGTTCGGAGGAGGTGCAGACGTTCATAACTAGTTGGCTCTTCTTGGTCGATACGAATACACACTTGCCACTCGACACCAACTTGAGCCATCAACATGACCATGATCTTTGAAACATCAGACCTGGTTCAACGACTGTTGTGTCTGGTTTGGTCAAGCCATGCTCGGCCAATGCAAGCGCGGAGAGTTATGACTCCAGGAAGCGAGTAGCCTAGAGTCTGGGTAGCTTGTGTGCGTGGTGTAGATAGAATAGTGCTTAGTGCCATATACGGATGATGGCCGGTAGCGACCTTATACGGTAGTGACCCCTCATAGAGCCTCGTAGTCTCATCCGTCTATCGTTCTGTCCCCAATGTTGGCCTCCATAGTCTCAGTTCACAATCTACCTTCGTGGCATAACACTATACAACTGCCTGCGTCCTGGTCTCCCCTCGCTCCGTTGCTTGCGTTGCACAGCGGAAGCCACCACACGACCGACGCCGTGCTGTGCTGTTGTTGACATGATGGACGGCCTATTGCGCTCATGAGAAACGAGGAGGTACAATGGTCGTGGCTCGGACCTGTGCGAGGAACCTCGAAGCGCACAGTAAGGGTCAGCGAAGAGCGTTGAACGCAGTGAGGCGTTCATGGATCTGGCAAGAACCGCTTTGATGGTCCCGATGCCAACGCCACTCGGAAAGCAAAAAAGGGGCAGCACCTCGGGGCTCGAACCGCGCACCTCCTGCACGGGAAGCGGGACTCCACCGTCACGACAAAAGGCGGTCGACTACGGATGTGGCATCCACATTCTTGAGAGATGCAGCGTCGTGCAGCTATGGCGCGTGCATGGTGTCGGCGTCGAGGCGGCCGTCTCACAGTCCGTCTCGGTGTGTTGCCTGCTCGTGCTCTTTGCAAAAGCACAGTATCGTCATGAATCGTCCGCGCTCCAGCTTTGGCGTCGTGATCGGTCCCTCTTTTGTGGGTTCGTGCGGTATGAACGGTGGCGTCGGTTCGATCGATCGACGCATTTGCGATTCGAGAAGCAACTCCTTTTGCCAACTGAGGAGGTACTCGTATGGTGATTCGAATGCTACAGGCGCGGATCGAGTCGAAGATGCCAACGACAATACTCGACTTCATCAACAAGTAATAGTAGTTGAATCAAAGATATATAGTTGAGTCAAAGATGTAGTAGTCTAGTAAAAGATGTGGGGCACGGCGGCGTGGGTCGCGTTGGCCGTCACATTACTGGGGGTCGGGCTCGGCGTCGACGGCGCCGTGCTCGGCGTCGACGGCGCCGTGCTCGCAACAAGGTCGGCGGCAAACTGCTCGAACGTCATGGCCGCATATTGCGCGCTGCTCATGCCGGTCGTCGTATCGTAAATGCAGTCGTCGATGCTCTTGACACCGTTGGAGAGAAGCGTCCAAAACTGCGCGCAGTTGACGCTTGATGCAACCTGAAGCGCTTGCTCGTGCGTCCAGACGTTCATGAGGAGGTTGTCGTTGCCGGTATCGCGGCCGCATGCATCAGCCTCCAAGCTCGTCATGGCGTCCATGATGGCCATACCCACGTCTTGGCCCGCGCACGGCTCGAGCGCGGCGGTCGTCGCCGCCATCGCAGCCATGAAAACAAGTGCAGCGCGCGCCATGAGTCTTGGACAAACGAGGAAAATTCAAAAATGACTAGAGGCGCCGCGCGAGTGGATGGACATTACGCACGAAGCCGTGGTATAAACCTGCGTCAAAGTGGCGTGCGGCGTACGGCTTATCGAACGCTGATGGACCCACTCGTAATATCTATGAATCTCTGTGAAGACGCGAAGAGATCCTTGCCGTCCACAGCATTGATCTTGCAGCCAGGCGGCATTGTGGCTGAAACCACGCACTCGACACCGATTGGTGGAAAAGAAGCCAATCCTGATGCGTTCCGGAGCAGAAAGCCCGCTGATTCGCTCATACGCGGCCAATCCGTGACGAGATGGACCCTTTTTGAACTTGGGGCGATGCAACCCATGCTCCGTTGGATTGAAGCGGCAAGAGGTGCTACACACTGCAAGGTACAGTGGGAGCGAGAGCGATGCCAGAAGAACCATGGCAGTGGCGACAACCGGCGGATAATGATGATGCGATACGAGTGTGATGCTACGAGTTGTTGCAGTGTACTAGTATCAAGCAGAATGCGCGGCCATGTTGCACGGCAAAGTCCCTGCGTCTCGATGGGACGAGTGTTTTGTCGTATATAGTCGTGTTTGGACAAGTCGTCGTGTATCCAGTCCAACCGGATACTTCAGGCGAGACTCAAGAGGATTCCTATTGCGAGCTTTCGCATCTACAGTGTACCAATATGATCGTGGATATCGAACTCCATGTCGCGGGGCGAAAATGGATTAAAGTGCATCCCACACTGGTGCACCCGCACGAGCATTGCATGGCTGGATCTATCTTCCTATTTGGCCTTTCTACTGCCGCGCAACATGGGCGATCGAACGATGCAAGGTCTCGGGGTATCTCTCCTACTGGCTGCCGCCGATGAGGGATTCCGACAGTGGTGTATGTTTTCTTCGCAGGAAGTTGGTCCGATTCTCTGGTGTTTTCAACGGATTTTGTTCCGTTTGGTGTCGGCAGTAGCCGGAAGGCAGGGCCGATCGCAGCCGAGCTTGGCACGAGACGTCACTGCAAAGTTGCGTGCTCCAGAGATAGACACACTTGTGTGTGTCTGTTTTCATTTAATTAGGCGGCACGGTCGCTGCACGCATCTACAGGTACATGGCCGCGGCCACAGCAAGGACGGTTGTCGTGAGCATTGCCGAGGTGGCTGCCGAAGGTGCAGTCGTCGGTGCAGTCGTCGGCGCAGTTGTTTGCTTGGACGTGGCATCTACAACCGGCACCGTCGAGGTCGTGTTGCCGCCTGTTGTTGCCGTCGTTGGGGTCGCCGTGCTGTTGGATGACGTCGCGATTACAGCGGCGGTGGTGGTCGGAGCGGACGTCGTCGTCGTCATCGGGACCTTGGTCGACGGCGCGGGAGCTTGCGTGGCCGGCGCGGTCGTCGCCGGGAGGGCGCCAGTACTCTTGACAATGTCGTTGGCAAACTCGGCAAACGACTGGGCCGCGTACTTCAAATTGGTCGTGCCTGCCGCATAGGTGCATTCGGGGATCATCTTGAGGTTGGCCGCCATCTCGGCCCACATCTTGGCGCAGTGGTCGCTACTTAGGATTTTCGTGGCTTGCGCATGCGTCCAGACGCTGCCGATAAGGTTCGTGTTGCCCGTGTCCTTGGCGCAGCCCTCGGCGTCGAGGCTCGTAAGCGGGCCCATGAGGGCCATGCCCACGTCTTCGCCAGCGCACGGCGCGACGGCCGTCACCGTCGAGACAAACAGGGCAAGAAGAAGGCTGCGCAACATGGTGCTACTTGGGAAATGACCAGGTTTGCGTTCGCCCAGTTCGGCTGCTCGCGCCATTGCCAATGGGCGCTTCTGCGACATCGTTGCCAAACGGCAAAGTGGCGTTTTCAGCGTTAAAGTGTTTAACGCACGTTAAACGCCAAAGTGCAAAGATACGCATATCTTGATGTTTGTATGGGATACAAAAACCGTGTCCACTGTGCCAAATTGAACCGACGCACGCGTCAAGAGAGGTGGACTGCACATGCAAGGATCGTGGATGCTGTCCACATATGAAGCAGAGCACTGAATCATCATGTCACGCTGGACCAAGGGATATTCCCTTGCGCTGGGCAGCTGCGCTAGATTGTGACGTGATGAGTAGCAGTACACTTCTCTGTAGTCGATCAATATCAACCGAATCCAACGTGGTCGTGTTGCTTGCAAATGCAAACTACTAGTGTATACAACATGGTCGCACCGTCACGACATTATTGTACACAAAAATTATATCGACAACAATAGGTTGAGTCAAGCATTTCGTGTTGCGCGTGCTGGCCTTCAGGTTGTCACCCACTGGTTGTCACCTGCTAGTCGTATGTTGCTCGAGCCAGGATCTCGTGGATGAAACCAACACTGTGGCTTTTGCAAGCTCTTTTGATACAGGAGACTCGCATACATCAACCCCTCTTGATTCCTTGTGTTAGCCGTAACATTGCCTAGGCCGACCGCCCACTGCCCTTGGCGTCTCGTGTCACTCTTGTATATTCCAAGTGCTCGATGAGCGCGACGAACCGCCGCGGCGTAGCTTCCAGCGCGGGCACCACGTTGTACGCGATGGCGTCGATGAGCTGCAGCAGTGGCGCTTCGCCGTTTCGTATGACTCTCCGCGCCGCACTAATCGAGCACATCTTCCACCCGACGACCTCGTACAAATAGCGCACAACCTCGAGATGGCTACGCGCAACGGCTTCGTCGAACGCGGCGGCCGAGCAGCCCTCGCTTCGGTGCGTATGCAAGAACACCACGAGGTCGCAGTGGCCAAACGCTGCGGCTTCGTCCATGACGCGGCGTGTCCATCGACCAAGTCCTTGTTCGTGCAGATAGCGGACAACTTCCAAGTTGCCACCACGCGCCGCGCGCTCGGGCACGTCGTCAAGTACAGGCGTGTGCATGACGTCGTGCAGGTACCGCACGATCTCGACATGGCCGCCCGCCGCCGCCCGCGCTACCGCATACGCCGTGGCGTTGGCACCGCAATGCTCGTGCAAGAAGATGATGACGGCCAAATGCCCGTTTCCAGCAGCCCCGTCGATCGCAAGCTCCGTGCAGCCTTCGTTCCGGTGGGTCTGGAGGAACCGGACGACCGCCAAATGCCCGTTGGTTGCAGCCAAATCCATGGCCGTGCGGGAGCACGCAAAGTGTCCGGTAGTGTGCAACAACGTCACAAGATCAAGCCGGCCGAGTCGCGCACGTGTGTCCATGTACTCGTGCGACCAGATTTGCAGCGGATGCAATAGTTCAATCACGGCGTCGTGTCCGCCCGAGACGGCGGCGACCATCACGGACACTGGCAAGACGTTGGTGTCGCGGTACACTGCGAGCAGTTGGCGACAGCAAGCGAGGTGCCCATACTCGGCGGCCTGCTTGAGCGCCCTGATCGACGAGATGCCCGTTGCCAAAAGGTACGCGACGATGTGGCAGTGCCCGTGGCGCGCAGCTGCCGCGAGCGTGTGCTCGAGGCGCATGTTTGGGAACATTTCGTGAAGGAACTGGAGCATGTCGAGGCGACCGGCAGCAGCCGGGTGGTCCAGAAGGTCGGGACTGCCGA